TTGTGGTATGTTTATGGTAGTATATGTCGACAAAACAGCAAAGGAGGCTTCTGAAATTTTGCAGTCTAGTGGTTTATTCTGTGAAATATTAAGCATGCTGCCACCAAAGCTGGTTTGAATACTTTTTGATGCAGGTACACTTTTCTGCGTGCTCACTTAGTTTAGTGTGCGTCATTTTAATGTGTGTACAGTAATGACTTAATGTGGTTATTTTTGGTCTAGTGCTTATATTATGTATTAATGTGTTTAAAAACGTTATTTTCTAATACAAAGGAAACAATTATTATCGGTTTTTGTTGACGTTCGAAATGAAAATGAAATGAGAGGAGGGGGGGGGGGATGGGGTTGAACGTCCACTCGATAAATCAAGCAATTTACAGTTTTTTTTAGCGTGAGGGGGGCCTGAAGAAAACCCACAAGGTTGGAAAGATGACCCTACTCCATATCACATATAAGCGGGGGATCGAAACAGAGTCCCCCCCCCCCCACACACACACACACCACCACCACGCCAATGTATACACGAGACCTCGGTTTTTCATGGCATCCGAACGACATGCTGTCCCCATGCCTTCCGTCCTACACCACTGACAAGGGGGATACATCGCCAGAAAATGTCCGATGAACTTTGATAAAATGAAATGAAATAGGGTTTAACGTCCTACTGTTCTGCTCCGATTGGGCTAATGAAGACGGACATACGCCATACAGTGTGCTATGAGGAAAATTGTGCCCAGGCAGCGGCACCAAGGCCTCTGCTTATATCGAATTCAAACTGCCAATTACGTGCACGCCAATTGATAGCCCCGGTTTTTCGTCCCATCCGAACAACTAGACAGCTGTCCTTACTAAGCCCTCCACCCTGTACCACTGACAAGGGGAAACCACGTCGGAAAACCCCGATGAATTTTCTCGGCCAATGCAGGGATCGAACACGTGACCTCCAGTTTAGTAAGCCAGCTTCTTACCCACTTAGCCACCGTGGCTCCGAACTTTAATGATGTTAGAGAGCAAACCTACTACTCACTGAGCCACCCCAACTCCCACTTCATTTCGATTCCGGACACGGGACCTCGTTTTTTTTATGCTATCCGAACGACTATACGTGGTCCCTTGCGAGGGCTTTCCTCCTACACCACTGAAGTAAGAGAGCAAACGTCCCACTCACTGACGCACCGTAGCTCCTACTTCATTTAGATTCCGAAAATGGGACCTCGGTTGTTTTTATTCCATCCGAACGATTATATGTTGTCTCTTGCCAGGCTCTCCGTCCTACACCACAAGATGAACTTTGATGAGGTTAGAGAGCAAACGTCCTACTCACTGAGCCACCGTAGCCCCCACTTCATTTCGATTTCGGACAAGGAACCTCGTTTTTTATATACCATTCAAACGACTATACCACTGACAAGCAGGAACCCCGACTGAAAAATCCAGGAGAACTTTGATGAAGTAAGAGAGCAAACGTCCTACTCACTGAGCCATCGTAGCTCACACTTCATTTAGATTCCGGACACGGGATCTCGGTTATTTGTATTCCATCGCCAGAAAAATCACGATGAACTTTGATGAAGTTAGAAAGCAAACGTCCTACTCACTGGGCCACCGTAGAGCCAACTTCATTTCGATTCTGGGCACAGGACCTCGTTCTTTTAATCCCATTCGAACGATTATACGTTGTCCCTTGTCAGACTTAACATCCAACAGCACTGACAAGTCCACGCATCAAAAAACACGATGAAGGTAATTGAAGATAGAGACCAAAGATAGATTCGACTGAAGACTTAAAATCGATTACAGAATACAATGCTATCTGTGCAAGAAGAGATTAAAATTGTTTAGGACTATAAATTTTCTAGAACTTCAAACATTTCCGTTTATTATAATCCATGTCCAAATATAAATGCCGATACGGTAGTCAGTGGACATGCTTATAAACTGCACTTCCGAAGCGAGAACACGAGCAGACGAGAAGTAGAGATTGTGACGAAGCGAGGAAGCGAGAACACGAGAGGACGAGATTAACCCAAAGGCGAGGGAGCGAGGGAGCGAGAACACGAGAAGTCGAGGGCGAGAAGACGAGAAGTCGAGGGCGAGAGTGCGAGAACACGCGGTTTTTCAAAGGCGAGAACACGAGGGAGCGAGAAGTCGAGGTGAAAGTAATCTCGTGCTCTCGGGGCGAGATCCTCGTATTCTCGCCCTATTTCCTCGTGTTCTCGTCTTCTCGTGTTCTCGCCCTCGACTTCTCGTGTTTTCGTCCCCTCGTGTTCTCGCCCTCGACTTCTCGTCTTCCCGTGTTCTCACCCTCGACTTCTAGCGGCGAGAAGTCGATGCCCCCTAATAATTTGCCTTTGATGCCCTCGCCATGATCCGTCACTGGATGTGAGAAACTCGTAAAGATACCATCTATCAACAACCACCGATGAGTTCCTTTATAATATTTTCCGTGAATACCGAGAACAATGAATGGCAAAGATGTCTTTGAATATTACGTAAGGAATAAGTTTGGTGTTTTCGAGGTAGATGAATCCATTTTCGTACATATTTTGGCGATTAAGTGGTTCGCCTGTGTCAATATAAGAGGAAATAAAATTAGGGATTTACATTTTCCGATTAGGGATTAATGATACTCCTGCCTTATACCTAATACGATGACATTCATCCAGCATCATTTAAATTTCATTTGGTCTATCAATTTAAACTGAGTAAAAACAAGTAACAGTGATTACTAATAGTAATGAAATTTGTCGTTCAAATGGGTACTTCTTTACTCAAAATATTCTGTCTTTAGGATTTCTTTCTAACTACATATGATCATTTATGAGTGGTGACCTGACAAAAATGTGCCAGAGCAGACGAAAGCCATTATGAAAATATGAAAATGGTCTAATTTTTAAAAGGGCACAAGGCACAAGCGGTTACCATGCAAGATACGCCCACATTTTGCAAGAGATGGACAGAGAACGAGTTAAAAAAAATAATGTGATTTTTAGTATAACAATCTGGGGCCATAATCCAGGAAGATATTGTCCTTTATGTGCAAACATCGAAGTGAATCGAGATCTTTGTGTTATGAACATACATTTCAAGTTTCATCAAAATCGGATAAACATTGTGACCTCTAGGGGGTCCACAACCTTCGTATTACATAGTTTTACACAATTTTGTTGGGCAGTTTCATTTCAATTTTCCTGAAATTCGAATTCAACCTTTATTATGTTGGAATGGTTATATATTTAAACGTTTTTTTTAAAATAAAAAATGTCACCTCTAGAGAATCTGCAAGCTAAAAATGCGATTTTTCGAACAATCAGGGGCCATACTCCAGGAAGTTACGTTCGGATATGCGCGATTATCAAAAGGAACCAAGATCTTAGTGTGTAACGGGGATATATTCACACCTTTTTTTAAATCGGATAAAAATTGTGACCTCTAAATTTTGTACAATCAAGGGCCATAATTAAGGAAGTTACGATCCGATATGCGCACATATCGAAAGGAACCAAGATCTGTAGGTTATAAACATATATTTCAAGTTTCATCAAAATCGGATCAAAATTGTGACCTCTAGAGGGTCCACAACCTTGATATACCAGATGTTTACATTATTTGCGCACGGTGGGCGGCCATTTTGTCTGCCAGTTTTGGTTTGATATTCATGAAATTCGAACTCAACCAACAACGGTGTAACGATTATATATTCGAACGTTTTTTTAAATCAGATAATAATTCTGACCTCTACAGGGACAACAAGCTAAACATGCGATTTTTCGTACAATCATCGACCATAATTCAGGAAGTTACGATACGATATGCGCGAATATCGACAGGAACCAAGATTTTTGGGTTATAAACATGCATTTCAAGCTTCATCAAACTCGGGTGAAAATTGTGACCTCTAAAGTGTCCACAAGCTAAAAGCGTGATTTTTGGGCCATAATTCATACGGTTTCGATCCGATACATGCCAATATAGAAAGCAGCGGAGATCTTTTGGAGATTAACCTATATTTCAAGTTTCGTCGAAATCGGATAAGAATGGTGGTCTGTAGAGTGTCCACAAACAATCTTGGACGGACAGACGGACAGGGGCGACGACAATATACGTCCATATGATAATGTATCGATAGGAAGCTCTTTCAGTTTCCAACAAAATGAGTTTATGCACTCACCCACCCCAGTTTAATATGCTGTTTATGCAGTTAAAGGGGAAAAATACGTAGTATTTACCAGCACTTATCATTCACCCTTTGCCACTAAGTGAAAACAAGTGATATACACGTGTGAAAGAGTCGACCTTATATAAGGTGACTGCTTTTAGATTTGTGTTATTATTCAATTGATTTAAATTAATAAAACTTATATAGCTATAACACATAAAGCCGACTTAATGTTCGCTATTCACACCCGTGTATAAATAAATATTGCTGTATCACTTACAAAACAGCCATCGTGTATAAACTGTGTTGTACTTTATTGTACGCTTTCAATCCAATAATCACATGTATGATCTACAAAGTAATTAACTGATCATAAACCTTTTTTTTTAACATACAAAGAATACCCAACCCTCCCTGACGCCAATATTGTTTTTTTATAATCGTTCGTTGTAAATATTATTCTTAACTCTGTGAGTATGTACATTGGACTAAAAAATGAGACATAGATAAAGTTAGTTGCCGGAGGCGATATATTTGACACCATAATTAGTTGCTTTTTTTATGTTATATATATATATGTATGTTATATGTTTGTGAACAGGACATAGTAGTTAATGCGAACCGTACATTATACTTCGGAAAAATAGACTATTTACTTCATTTTCTCATATACAATTTGTTGTGGGTTGTTAGCCATGTCAAGTTTATTTTTCATTTGGATATGCTTGTGTGTTAGTGCTTTCTGAAAGGGGGGTTGTGTTAGAATTGAACTATCTTTTCCTGAAAACATTTTTTGTTGTTGTTCATCTTATTCTTCTCTAATCTTGTGTACACGGACGACGTGTATGCATGCAATGATTGATGAATGACAAAAACAATATTCAAGTAGAAATGAAGACAAGACCTAATTAATGTGTTTTTATTTTTGTTCTTTTTTCTGCTTCACTGGTTTTACTATGTGGATGATATATACCATGCAGGAGGCAGCAATGACTTTGATGGATATCTTCTTAAGTGTCGTCGTGTGAGTAAAAAAATAGCTAGGAACCCCATTATTCATTTTAATAGAATTATACAACAATATAATTTGTTAGGAAAATTCACTGTAGTCAGTTGGTTTCGGGAAAGACACTCGTGTATACAAAACAGTTATTGAGAATGTTGTGTTATGCAATTTAGAGAATTGAAACTGGCATTCAGATTAAAAAATGAAGTGGAGCCAGTTATTCAAAGCTAAACTAGCTGTATTTATAGCGTTGTGTACAGTATCATCATCACATCGGACATATCCACCATCTTGGATTGAAGTCTGCAAAGTGACAAGAACTGTGGATAGAGAATCGAAACATATAGAGTTAAACTGTTCGCTTAGTGGTAATGACCAAGTAACCATTGTCCTTAAACATTTAAATGATTACACGTCAAATCTAACAGAAGACATTTCTTACAGTGCAAATTTTCATTGCACTGGCGCTGGAAATCTGTCCATGTCCTTGCCTATGAAGATAGAGAAATTAGTGAAACTAAAGATTGAAGGCTGTAGTGTGCGGGATTACTTCAACGATTGGAACAATGCTGAAATGGATAACAGGACTGATAGTTTAGAATCACTGACTATTATTAACTCAGATATTGTTATCGACCCCATTGTTCTTTTTAGCAGTCTTAACAATGTGCAAAACATTACTAAGGAATTTACCTGTGGTCACGATGCAACCATTAAAAAGATAACCAGAAGAAACATGACCATGTCTTTTATTATCCGAAAAGAACTCTTAACTGAAACTACTTCCGGGCCACAGATGGACCAGGTACAACTTATCAATGATGTGTTAGATTATAAACCCATTTGCAGGTATCTCCATTTGGAAGAACTTGAAGATTCCCATGCTAACACCATGGTTGTCTATCACGTCAGAGTTGTGGGTCAAAATTCCAAATTTCCAGTTTTGAAATATTTAAATTATTCTCATAACAATTGGAAGGAAATATCGGAAACCTTGTTAGATTGGAGACTAACGTTCCCGCAACTGAAATACCTAGATCTTAGTTACAATAAAATCACGGATGTTCCAATGAAAAATAGATTCGACGTTGAACCGGGTGAGGATACTATCATTGATGTAACGCATAACAATATAACTGTGCTTACTGTTAAAGATCTGGTCGATTGGTCAATGTTGGAACGAATGTTCATTGATATTAGGAATAATCCTTTGGACTGTGATTGTTTAAAACAGGAATTTATTTACCAGGTTCAAGATGAGGATTGGTTTGTTGGTGATTTGTTTAAATATAAATATATCAGAAATATGACTTGTGCCACTCCACTTTCAGCTCGTGGTAAAATGTTACACTATTTGACTAAAGAAGATATGGGATGTGCGATACCCCCAGCTGATCTGACTGTAGCTCTCGTTATATTGGCTATTGTTGCTTTTTCGGTGGTTGTAATAATTATTCTAATTGCACGATATAGAAAGGAAATCAAAATAATTATTTATACAAGATTTGGTGTGCTGTTTCCCTGGGATGTGGATGATAAAAAGGAGTCTAAACGCTACGATGCATTCGTTTCATACAGTACGGCGGATGAGGATTGGGTTTATGATGTACTCCAGAATACTTTGGAACAACCGAAAGCCAAAGGAACCAAGCCATTTGAATTATGTCTTCATCAAAGAGATTTCCTTGGTGGCAAAACCATTTTGGATAACATCATTGACAGTATTGAGAACAGTCGACATTCTATCGTCATCTTGTCTAATAACTTTATTCAGAGTATATGGGGGATGGAAGAATTTAAACAAGCTTACTATCAGAGTATTGTGAAGAAGCATCGTCATTTAATCATTGTCAAGTATCAGGAAGTCCCAGAAAGCAAAATGGATCCTATATTGAAACGTTGCCTTAAAACGTTTACCTATTTGGATGTTAAAGACAATATGTTTATGGATCGACTGAGGTTTTCGCTCGTCGTGAAAAACCAGGCAAATAAAAAGTAATTTATAATATACTGACACATTACTATAAACCCATTTATTGTTTAAAGCTTTAATCGTATTACCAAAGAATAATTATAAAATGTGCTTGCAAAGAACTGTTTCATTAAAAAAAATAATGGGCAATTGTTATATTAAACACTGGGAATATGGATATCTCTGCCCGATTTGCGATTTATATTAAAAAAGGGAAGTTTATTCATTATTTAATTTCCTTTAGTAGTAACCAGTATTTGTTAGTTGAATAACAAACTGATTAAAATCATATGCTTCGTTTTATTTTTGATGCACTGGGCATCTGAAAGATCACATAAACTGTCAATATTGTGGGGGATTTCAGGAAGATGCATAATTAAGAGTGACTCTTGTTTGGATTAGCGGTATATTCATTTACTATTAATGACAAGTGGACAGTAAGGCCGATTGACCCCGCCCCCTAAAGTTTGAACATTCTACCTCAACAGAGAGAGAGAGAAATGGGGTTTAACGTCCACTCGACACAAACTAGGTCATTTCGGGACTAACATATGGTTTAATTTTATTTCAATAATTCGCTTGCGCGTAGGGGTCTTTAGGAGTGGGAGGAAACCGGAGGACCCGGAGAAAACCCACGAGGTTGGACAGGCGACCCTACTCCTTGTCACATACAACCGGGGATTCGAAACCACGCCAGTTGACTCAATGACAGGCTTTATGATACAGCACGCACGTGCTAACCATTCGGCCATCCAACCCCCTCTACCTCAACAACAATCGGAGTTATTGTCTCCCACAATTTCAACCGATCAGCTTATCTCTGCTTAGACAAAGCAGTAAAGGTTAATCAGAAAATTAATTTATGAACATCTGCACCAAGTTCGAGTTTTTGACTCCCAAAATGTATAATGGACAGACAGAGATAGGCTGGCAGACAGACGAAGGTATTTTAAATATTTTTGCCCAGTATGTACGCCTAGTCCATTGTATAGTACAAAAAGTGGCCATGGTTCTACAAGGTCTGAATGTCCAAAGGTCCGACAAATTATAGGAAACCCAACTGACTGTGCCCAAATATTATATTAAGTATCCGCCCACCCTATCGCTTGTTTGCTGCACGTGATGTCGGCGATGAACGGATTCGGGTATGCGGCTGTTGAATTCATCTATTTTATGACTGGTCTCGGTCTTTATTTGTTTATCCATAAATTGCCGAACTTATTCAATTCAAACGCTTAAAACAGTTAATTAATGTCCCATCATTGAATCAGATATCCCGTCTAGAAATAAACCATACAAATTCCAATTTAAACTATTAACAAATCAAAACAATGGAAGTGGCTCATTTATTGTCATATGGTAACATGCTGAGAAAAAAAATCATGCTGAAACGACGCGAGGAATTATATTTCCACAGAAAAAATGACTACTTGGCATTACAGACCTGGGTATTTTATTTATCAAAACTCTTGAAATGTTTGTAAATAGGAGCGGTATAATACAGAAAATTTAGGTGCGCGAATTGCGAAGAACGAGCGATCAAATATTTTTGTTAAGAAAAAACGTTACACGCCCATCCTATGGTTTGAAATACTTAGCAGCTTTCGTCCCTAGTCCTGCAGATGATGATCAGGCTAATTAGAGTTGTCTCCCTCGAAATAGTAAACTTAGAGGAAAGGCGATAGAATGTTCCGGAATTGAATTCTCTCTATCCCCGAAATAGTGGCAATCGAGTGAAAAGGGGGAATTCCGACTACAAAACATGCACCGACTACGTAACAAAATATATCAACCAACCATGATAGCTGAAATATATTCGTTATGTTTATTTACGCCACGGTTCTCCCACACCACCTCAGTTGTCGGAACTGGTAGAGCTGTGACAGGAATGAATTATGTGACACTCGATTGAGACGTTCCGGACTGACAATCGAGCTTCCCCTAATTATAATATGCACCGTGCAATTATTATATTGCCAAATCTTGTTTTAATCCATGTCGGTGCCGAAACACATGAATGGTTTTCGCCACTACATTTTTTATAGCTTAAAGAGCACATGAAGTGAGAAAACTAAATGTTATGTACTTATAGCCAGTAGTTACTATTTGCATTATACGGCAAGTTCACACCAATCTGATTAAAATTATTCGACATATTAACGTTTCAGTATCAGACACCCGAAAACAATTTTCAAAATTTCAATAACAGCCTTAATCCGGTTGATTGGCCGGTGGGGTCACAAGGACCGCACATATATACATTATTATAATCTTATCTCTATTCATACGCACCACCAGTTGACTAGTGTTTATTCACGGTCCAATTAATATTTTGACATAATCATTACCTCGTTATATTTATCTACATGTAAGTTACAAATCACTACACAACGCAAGGCATATTTAAGAGCTACCCTTCTGGTCTGGAATTGTTACAGATTACATACTTGTATCTGGAATATTTTAGAGTGAATTTTATCTTTGTGTTGTTAAGTTGTGGAAATTCCAGCAAAGAAATGGGATAGAGTGTGCCGTCGGTTCTCTTCTGTCAAAAGACATATCTCATACAACCGAGGCAACGAACATGAATCACCAACGAACTATATTACGCCCGCATATCAATTTAGAATGGAAAGAATTCTAAGTCCATTACACTGCCCGTGTCAGATTAAATGAGAAAAGTATAACGGCGTGAGGAGACGGTAGGGCAGATGCACCTGACCACAACGTTATATTTGTATTTGATATAAAATTAGTCCAGGTAAGTTCTTAATTCGTATTTATCACGTTGCAAAATAAAAAAAATTATTACAAGGTTTGTGTGAACCTATATCTTTGATTTGATCGTTATACAAAAGATATTACCAACACGTGTAAACAAATATAGTCAGATGCCTCTTCTCAAAGAAAGCTGTTATTAAATTTAGTTGGTTACCAACAAAATGAATTAGCCCAAATTTAGTTGTAGGCCTACTGTTAATTCTAATGTAGTGAGATATTTTTCCTATTTCATTTGTTACGATCTATTTTAGTATAATGAAGTCAAATCCAACATCCAAATGGAGAATGACGCTCTCATTCGCGCCGTACGATGACTCCAGTTGGCTACTCAAGAAAACCTTGTAAATATGAAGCATTTCTTCGATGTCTGGCACGAAGCTAAAGGTAAATTTGTTTTATTTGTAGTTTGGTAGAGTTTGAATCATCATAAAACATACCATTGACATATCAAAGTTGACTATAATGTCGGACTATATCTGGGAAGGTCGTTGGAATCAAGTAGTTTCTAAAATAAATGTCAGTTATAACATTAGAATTATTACTGTTTCTTCCAGGTTTGAAAAGAAAATTGATGGCACTTAAAAAGAAACTCACTGTCTCAGCGCCAATCTCTGGATTCCAAGTATAACGAACCATCTCTATTGGTGTGTGCGACTAGAGACGAAGACAATTCGACACAGTTGCTTTGGAATGAAACATTGTTGTCAATCACATCCAGAATTACCACCAGGAAACCACTTCGTTTCGTAAAAGCCGACAATTAATTGTCTCTTGACTTCATAGATGTTCGTAGCGCCGTCGATAACAATTTTACTTGTGTTCATAGAAAGCGAATTATTGTACAGGTTTACTGTACATGGGGAATATGGCTATACAGCGACTCTCTTTGTTATGGTATTATAAAACAAATTCTAAATTGGATCTTAAATTAAAATTAAAGAAAAAACATTCCGAATAATGCATTCGGCCACTGTGACGTCACTGTCGTCTGAGGGGATTAAGAATGTTTTCGATACTGACAAAGTCGTTTTTACGGGAGTTCTATATTTGTGACTTTGAGTGAAGATGGCCGATTTAATTTTAATCAGATTGGCGTGAACTTGCCGTAAGGGGATATAGTAACCACTGTCTACAAGTACAGAAAATTTCAGCTGGCGACTTTATGTGTTCTTTAAATAAATGGTTCTTTTAACAATATGTTTCCATAATAAATACTATCAGCTTTCTTCAAATCATGCTTCGGCACCGTGGCATACGTGGTTTGTTTAAGGATGGGTATTTCCTGAAATCCATATTAAAAATTTAGCTCGTATTTCAGGTTTCTCAATCCTGATGATCTTGTGAACTCACGATCAGTGAACAATAAGACACTTGGCTTAAATGACTATATAACTGAAAAAGATCTTGATGTATTGGCAATTACTGAGACGTAGCTTGGTAATATTATCCTTGGTAATAAAAGATATTCAATATATCATACTTCTAGAGGCACTAGAGGGGGTGGGGTGAGTAGGCCTTCTTGTCTATAAATCATCAATAAAGGCAAAGAAGTGTAATTGTGACAAAACTCCGCGTTTGAAGCACTTAACTGTGCAATGGCTCTCAGTAACAAGCCTACAAGAGTCATCGTAATATATCATCCACCTAATTCCAAGCCAGCCCAGTTCTTTGAGGAGTTCACATCATTCTTCGATAGTCTTGTTCTATCTGTAAATGAATACATCATTCTTGAATATTTTAACTTTCATTTGGATCAACCTAATGATCCTATGGCTCAACAATTTACCGAGCTGCTCGAAATCAAATTATTTATTCGACATATTAAATCCCCAACACACAACCATGGACTTTTACTTGACTTGATCATAACTCGCAAATATGGAGTATCGGTTAATAATGGTATTATTGAAGACATTCACTTGTCTGATCACTTCCCAATACGATTTGAGTTAAGCACCGTAAAAAAAACCCACACCATTTGAACGCAATTGTAATAGTCTTGACAAAACCACACCCAACTTTTCTAGAGTAAAATTTTGCGTAGAATACGATACGCCGTTGGGGCGTTTTCGAGATATTCGGGGTCAAAGGTCAAATGAGTTCATTTGCACTGAAAGTGAATGCGTAGCCATTCTTGCGTCATGAACATAAGCTGAAAATGATCGAAAACAATCACCCTTTCAATAAAAATGTAAACTTGCTAAATTCACCTTTGTTCTTTGTGACTCCGGAGGTCAAAAGGTCAAATTTTCCGTTTTAGCACTAGGAAAATTGAAAGCAATAAATGTCAACGTAAAATATAAAAACTAAAGCGAAACCTGTTCTAATTAATAATAGAAACATTTAAAATTTATCTTTAGGTGGTCTTAGCACCGAACCTTTACTTTGGAACGTCAAAAACGTTCTTGCATAACAGAACAAA